TTATGACACGCGAATAGTGGCACCCAACTGTTTGTTTTCTTCTTAGTTTATTAATTTGGTGTAACGCTGCATTAATTAATTAATGCAGATACCAGTGTCATTCTTTTATTTTGAAAATGTGTACTTTCCATGGTTTTGGCTGTTGATTACAAATAAAGCTAATACTATGTTTACATTTTCAGAACTTAGATGAATATGTGGCTGCTTTGTTAACTCTCAAGCAAAAGATCGTCGACACGGAGTGAGTGCTTTATTTATTACTGTTGTTTTTTTTAAAAAATTATATTCTATCAATTCAATAATACTTTACTCATACAAAAAAGAGTGAGTATTAAAAGTGTTAGGTACGTTTATATCTGACTGGTTCTTCTGCACCACCGCTCTGACAACGCTCTGTTGTCATGACACTAAGCGTGTTTCTGCTAATTAATGAAAAATAAAATGGGATATTCACAATTAAGTATGACAATAGATGCAAGATATAATACCAATTACTGAATTACTATGCAAGTATTACAGTGACACCACTACTGTCGGTTCAGTTGAACAAGTCATTGGCAGACCCGTTTGAGAATTGCGACACTCCTCTGTGATCTCGTGACGTCATTTAAATGGAAATGATGAAATGATGTCATTTAAATGGGTTGCCATGGGACAGATAGTAGGCAATTCTGGTAAATATCAAAGCATAAGGTGCACTGATTACTACGTGGAGGTAGAATAAGGGATGTTTTAAAAGAGGTTTGATAATAATAATAATGATATAAAGTGTAATGTGCAGTAGCCTATATGTAATATTATCTGTAGTGATAATACCATGTATGAATGTTGAAGATAATATCTATCTATCTGTCTATCTATATATCTATCTATCTATCTATCTATCTATATATATATATATATATTATTATATATTATATTATTATATCTTTTTTGTTTCTTCTTTTTTTTTCTTTTACGAATTATTTCTGTGGTAGAAAATGCTGTGGGCACCGAGATAGAAGACTATAAAGGGGTCCCTTAGGTAATAGTGACCCCATGTATTCCAGGCCTGAACAAACTGACATCTGGTTAGTGTAGTGTTTATGCATGTTGTTTAACTACAATTAGAATCTTATTAGCTATTATTATTATTAGCTATCAAGAAAATTTGGGACATTTTGTAAAATGTAATAAAATCAAGAATCTGTAATTTGTTCATTCTCTTTCAACTTTAACCGTCAAAAGTACAAAGGAAAGTTTTCCATTCTTTTCACTGAACAAATTGTACACTTTTGAATTAATTCATAATTCATTAAATAAATAGAATTGAGGATACTAATTGTTGCAGTTTTGCAAGTGGATTATTTTTTGCCCAATCTCACCTGATAAAAGACAGCTGCTCAACAGTCCATAGTCGTGGTTGTCTGCTTCTCCTTTTAATGATGGGTCATGCATCTTCAGTAGGAGACAGATCTGGATTGCAGGCAGACCAGTCAGGCACATCTACTGTAGTGTTGTCACGATACCAAAATTATTGCTTCGATACTAAGTCAGCAATTGTAATTTCGATACTTTTACTGAAAAGGGAGAAACACCCTCAAATATTTGTTTTTTAATTTTATTTATATTTACTTTGTTTTAAAACCGGGACAACATGCTAATCATATAACACACTAGTAAATGAACATATGAACAGCAGATATATTAAACTTTTGAACAAAATATGAAATATCAAAATTAAAAAAAAAATTAGAGCAATGACATTCAAGGTTAAATAATAATACATTTAGGAGCATTATTTCAGCTTGCAAATTTTGAATGTTATCTATGATAGTCGCGTTTTCAGATATGCTGCATTAGCTGTAGGCAGGCTATTGGTTAGCCATGAGGATAATGCCCATAGCAGAGCTGCCAACTCTCACGGATTGGCCGCGAGACACGCATTTCATTTGATTGGTTTCACACACCACACCCCCGATTTCTCATGCTGAAGTGTCAACCCGGTCGGTCAAATGCCTGACAGATGAATTAATCTATAGATCTACCCGTTGAGCCCCTCGTGATGTACCTGCAAATTAGTTCAAAACTCCCGGAATCTAGTGCGAGTGCGCATGAGACAGAGATGTGTTCCAAACCGTGTAGTGCGTGCACGGTAGAGAGGGAGAGCGAGCGAGAGACTTTGCGTGTGCAGAAAGATCTTAAAATCTAGAAACAGGACCCCCCGTTGGAGAATGTCATCATTTTGTAAAGGCTTTTAAAACACAGACGTCCATAGGGAGGCACTGGAAGCATGCGTGAAACACACCAAGGTGAAATACATCTCTTACAAATCTGGAACGCGGTCATTCTTAGAAGCATCAATATTAATACATTTAGGAAATGGGACGTTTTTAATTTCCGAGAATCGCGATACTTTTGAAGTATCGGTGCACCATGCAACACTAATCCACTATAAAATGTAGAGATTCTACAAAACCACTGACAAGTACAAATGAAAGATTTCCAATCTTTTCACTGAATCTTTAATTATACACTTTTGAATTAATTCATAATTCATTAAATTAATTAATAAGAATTGAGGATACTAATTGTTGCAGTTTTGCAAGTAGCATGCTCTTTCCAATTCACTTATTGTTGACTGTTTACAGTTTAACTTGGAAATTCTATAAGCTTTTCACTTTTATTTAGCCTCTGTCCTAACTTTTTAGAGTGTGTCACGGCAACCATAATCAAAATGTTTGTATTTACAAAATATATAAAATTGTTCTGTGAAAAACTGAAAACAAAATATTTTCTTTGTACTTTTGTCAGTTAAATAAAGTTGAAAGAGAATAAACAAATCACAGATTTTTGTCAGTTAAATAAAGTTGTTGAGAATAAACAAATCACAGATTTTTGATTGATATTGATATCGTTTGAATAATGATAAACATTGAACAAAAACGGGCAAAACAAAAATTATAGACTCATGAGTGGCCAGCTAAAGCGTGAAAATGTCAAACACAAATTTCATCGAATTGCCAGCGGATGTGTTTGGAAGATACTGAAATGAATGGGGTTCATCGCAGAAACCATTTATTGTTTGGATTCCAAAGTTCACAACTATCTTTTGCTCAATGACACACGATACTTCTGCATTCTCTGATTCCAGTGGAAGTTAGGGTTGTGCCGATAGACGATAGTATCGTGTATCGACGATAGTCTGACATATCGCCGATGGCAGATGCCTTTGACGATATCAATACGATAATTGGCTCGTTTTACCATAATGTATTAAATTATTATTATTATGCCTATTATTATTATAAAGCTAGTATTGTTATTAAATGAATATTAGGAACTACAATTAATTTGCCTTGCCTAAATTTACAACGACATCACCTCATATCAATTGCAACAACACACGCACTAATGAGGACTCCTCTAAGAGAATGTTTTTAAAACAGACTAAAAAACATCCCACATCAAAATTCAATCGCAAGGTGATCCATTCACAAATTATCAAGTGTGCTCGTTTTAACAGACGCAAAATTAAATTTCTTACAGATCCAAGATGAAAACGGCATCGTTGTTCATCAGTATTTGTTTCTGTAACACATTAACAAAACGTTTAATGACACTAACACTAAAAACAATACAATTACTAAATAGTATTAATAATAATATCACTAAAATAGTATTATAGTTACCGTTATCATCGTCGTCTCTGAGGGAACGCGGCGTTAATGCAGATGCCGAAAGCAGTCCGTTTTTACTTTCACTTTCAGAGATAGAGCGCGTTTACATGCGACGACGTTCTTAACCTGATTATGTTGAATAAACTTGACAATGCATGTGGTCATGTAAACGTTTCCTTTATCAGAGTCAAGTCATAAGTATAAGTATAAACCGATCGACTCAGCTAGACGTTTGGCCCTTGCTCTTGTTTCTATCGGCATTTAAAACACATAACCGCGTACTTCGTGCTTACTGAAGTGCGCATGTGAAGTGCGCAGAGAACGCACAGGGGGGCACATATCGCAAACTCCGACTCTTTCTGACCCAAGAAATTATTAAAACGTGTTTTCATCTCGTGCAGAAATAGACCAAAATGCTGCATGTAATGGCATGAGAATAGGCTAATGTGTCCGTAAATTTCCCGTTGACAAACAAAAGGATTAGGATCTCTTTTTTTTTACTTCACTATACCAGGAAATAACCTGATCCTATTAATAAACACTCCACCTTTGCTAGCAAAATAGAAAAAAGATTCTCGTATATAAAACGAAGTAGGCTAATAAAACAAGCAAATTAATGAGTAGGCTAAATAATCATGTTAATAATCAAATAAGTTAGCCCCGCCCCCTCACGATAATATCGTGTATCGCCGATCTCACAGGCTGACGATAGGACGATATGAAAATGGAGCATATCGCCCAACACTAGTGGAAGTCTATGGGAGTGTCGCAACTCTATCAACGACTCTGGTCAATGGAAGATTTACAAATTTTAAACACAACATTGTGTCACGGTTTGCAGTGTGTGTGTTCACTACTCACTATACTCCTAATGTTTGTGCACTAACTTGGATGGGTTAAATGCAGAGAACATTCTGAGTATGGGTTGCCATACTTGGCCTTTAACATGTCACTCTCACTTTATTACATATACATTTTACAGTAAATAAATAAATGCACATAACAGAGTTTGAATATAACATGTCTGTTAAATGGTTCAAACTTTAGTAATTGCAATTGAGTTGCAAAAGTTTAATATTAGGGCATTCCAACTAGAATGTTTAAAGGAATAAATTTAGTTTTTTTTTTTTTGTAAGTACTGGAACTGTAATAATTAGATTCATGGTTAATGGCAAAGATGAACATCTTACTTGCTGACTTTTCAGTTTTAACTACTTTCTCAAATAAAACTAACATTATTGTCTTCTAATAACTTCCACATTTTTATTTCAGCCGTCTCTTGAGTGAGTACAAAGAGAAGTGTGATGATATCCTTTTTAAAGCTATGTAGACGAGAACATTGTTCTTGCTTTGTCATGCTGTCTGTTGATTTACTGATTGATTTTATTGTAGATTTTATGTCAGTTGTTGGGTACATATATTGTGCAACATCACATGAGCAGGAGTGCTGTTGTATTGAATATTAGACCGGCCACACTAACCCTCAGGTAATGACAGCCATTCTGATGGTCATTACAACGGAATGGTTGAGAGTGAAATTTTATTTTTATACAGTTTAAGAAACAAAGTTAATACTGAATTAGAAACAATGTTTTTGTTTTGCTTCAATCTAAGTATAAATGGCATTTTTACTTTGTGTTATGCAGCATCCTTTCCAAATTGTAGCTGGTTAAACTGAAACATTTGGATGTAAAAGTGATTCCATTTCAATTTCGTATATTAATTTTCAGTGGCACTGAGAATTTAGTTTTCTATACTGTCACTGTTCTATTACACCACTGGTGTAAAATCAGAATGTAAGTTTGCTGACTTCTGGTTATGGCGGTGGTGTGACAAGTCGCAGATTTCAACCCTCGTGCATTAGGCTAGAATCAATCCTTCTAAACCCACTTAAGATACTTAATTTAAGTTGGTGGAATAGCTAAAGTGATTACTAAAACAATGCGTCGAAGAATAAGATAAAAAATAAAGGGAGATTGGAAGCGGAATCACAAATTATGCCATCCAAACCTGAACGAGCACGAAGAGACGGAGGATGAAGGGGGGAGGCCTCAAACGAGAATCCTAGTAACACGGAGATGATGAAGGCCTTTAAAGCAATGGAAAGACAAGTAAGCGGCAAGGTGGATGAAATTCTTTCGGCGGTCGTGGATGTCAAAGAGAGATTGACAGAGGCATAGGAACGAATTTCAGGGTCAGAGGACGAAATCGTCCAATTGAAGGTCAGAAATTATATGCTGGAAAAACAGATGAAATCAATGGCTGATAAGGTAATTGACTTGGAGAACAGAAGTAGGAGGAATAATCTTAGGTTGGTTGGGTTGCCAGAGAAAGAAGAGGGATCGGATGCGTGTGCTTGTCTGGAAAAGTTTCTACCAGTGACTTTGGAGTTGGGAGAATGTGTTACACCATTGATAATAGAGAGAGCCCATCGAATACCCAGCTCAGGTAAAAAAAAATGGACAAGATGGTAAAGTGCAGCCGAGGACTGTCATAATGAAGTTCCTAAATTTCAAACAGAAGGAACAGGTTCTAAAGGCTGCAAAGAGTAAGGGAGCAAATCCATACAAAGGTTCCAATCTTCGTTTTTTTTCCGGATTTGTAGGCAGAGCTTCACACGCAACAAAAAAAAGTATGATGCTATCCGTGAAAAATTGCGTGACAAATGAATTAACCGACACAAAGTAATCTTTCCTGCTCGATTGCTTCTTACACATGATGACCGTACTATGATCATGAACAGCCCAGAAGAAGTGGAGAAATTTATGCAGCAGGTCGAGGACAAGTGAACTGAGATATCGAGTCCAGAAAAAATGGATAAAGAGATGCAACAAATTGAGAACAAGTAAACTGAAGTATTAATGCGAGGTACTGAGGACTAAATTCTAAAATTGTAGTTTATTTTCTTTGTCGGCAGGTTGTAGCCTATATACGTCCAAAGTAGGTATTTATTTTTTTTAATAAGGGTAACAAGTTAATTATTTGACTTTAAGTTAATTCATTTAAGGTTCAGAAGAGGGCACTTTTGCTATAATATTTGAAAAAAGAAATGACACAGTGAAAGTTTGACTTTATTTAAAGATAATAGTTTGAAGATAGTAGCCTATGATAATATAATGTGTATATAGTTGGAAAGATGTTACTTGGAGATATAAGTCTGATAGATTGTCAGCGTATTTCTTTTTCTTTTTCCTCTTTTCTTTGAGGTAATAGTATTTTATTTGACAAGTCATGGCTTGGTTAAAATATGTGGGTATAACAATGGATAAGAAGGTTGAAACGGTAACGATGGATAGAGGTGTTGGTGTTCATTTTTTTTTAACAACAGAACAAATAGGAGAAGACCATTTAAGTCGAGTGTAGGGCAGGGGGTTACTGATATAGATGGTATCAGTGAAGCATGGAAAATGCTGGGGTAAGTTCATATTTTATGTTATTTGTTTTGTTTTAGTTATTTTAGGTTTGGCCTCTTATATTTTGGCAAATATATGGTTCAAGGTAATGAGGACGGTTAAAACAAAAAATGGCACAGGTAGGAGGGATTAAGCTTTTATCATGGAATTGCAGGGGGCTGGGAAAATAAAAAAAAAGTTAAGCAGGTGATGACTAGAATTAAGCAGATACAGGCAAATGTGGTATTCATGCAAGAGTCACACATGACTAAGGAGGAAGTGATCAAAATTGAAAGAAGGTAGCAAGGACAGGTATTTTCGGCATGTTTTACTACACAAGCCAGAGGGGTAATTACATTAATACATAAAGCTGTGCCATTTCAAGTAAATAATGTTATTAAGGACCCAGCTGGCAGATTTGTGATTATTCAGGGAAGATTGGTAACAGAGATAATACATTTAGTAAATATCTGTGGCCCTATAAGGATGACTCTAAATTTTATAGCAACATATTTCTGATGGTGGCTGCATTACCAGGTCAGGTTATAATGGTGGGGGATATGAATTGTACACTTGATCCAGGAAAAGATAGATCTACGGGAGTTGATACCACACATGTGAATTCTAGAAAACAGATTCTACATTTTATAGGAGAGCTTAATCTAGTGGATATATGGAGGCATCTTAATCCAAAACAGACTGCATATTCATGCTATTCGGCAACACACCAAACTTACTCTAGAATTGACTACTTTCTTGTGTCAGCCCAATTGCTTTCAAAATGTATAGATTGGCATTATCTTAGTCATGTCTGGTCATGCACCAGTGGCTTTGTCGTATGTCGATTCAAAATTAGTTAAAGATCCCCTATTAACAAACTCAATTTTTGAGAATACAGTGGTTGAAAGATGGGCTTCTTTACCGTTGTCTTTAATAGGAAGAATTAATATTTTAAAAATGAATATTTTACCAAATGTTTTGTACCTATTTCAGAATATTCCGATCACACCTCCTAGTAATCTGTTTTCTAGGCTTAAAAAGTTAATTATTAAATTCATACGGAACAATAGAAGATCCAGAATTAGATTATCTCTTTTATATTTACCATTTGATATGTTGGGGGGCTTCAATTTGTATTTAACTAGAGCAATGGCAAATATCCTTTCCTAGTTCCTTTAAAATATCACTTAATTAATTATTCTGCTTAAAGTCCCCGTGAAATCAAAATTGAACCTATTTACTTTGTTAGCGCATATTACTAGTCTTGTGGTGAACAATTAATCCGTGCAAGTAAAAATATATTTAAAAAATGTTTTACCTTGGTAATCTTTAATCAAAATCTGAAAAGTTACTTCCGGTCTGGAACGGTTTCTTTTTCTGATGATGTAGGTTTCACAACTTGGGTGGGGAAACGCTTAACCACTCCCCTCAAACCGTTAGTTTGCTATGAGCGAGAGATGGAGAGGAGGAGCGTTAGAGTAAAACCCTGCCCTCTGTTCAATATTCCGTTTCACTTGGAAATACGGCACAGCACTGGAGAAAAATCGTTTGCAACTTCCGGTTCACGGGGACTTTAAGCTCAAATATGGGGTTTCCATTTCCTATTCCATGATTGCTGGTGAAAGAAACGTCCAAATGAAATCTGTAATAAAAATCACAGATACTCTAAAGTGAAAATATGCTCGTTGCCCCAGGCACAATCACACTCTACTACCCATACACTGGTCTGGAGCACATCAACCCAAAACTTTCAATATTAACATTGTTCTCTGAATCCATCTTTGTTTTCCTTGACAAAAAGTCACAGCTTCAGAAATCACAGAGGTAAGACCTTATTTTCTTTTTCACTACAGTTAAATGTGTTATAGATTTATTTTTAGGTGACATTTATGTTTTAAGCAGCTGCTGTTTATCAAAGTGATGTACAGAGCACATTTACCAGGCTGTTACTTGAAAAATAGATATACTAGAGAATATGCCACGCATATGCACTGATTCCTCAACTGGCATACCTCTAATTGCAAAGACATTGTACTTATGTTGCAACTAAAGTAATGCAAAGCCAATATGTTGCTGAATAAGTACATTTATGCTCAGTTGCAAAAGTAGTTCCTTAAAACAAGGTAATTTGTCATGCAGTAGCCTAAAGTTTTAGAAGTTTGGTAATATGCACAATTGCATCATTTTCTGCAAAAAAAAAATAAATAAATTGTTGAGTATGTTGGCTAAATGTATATTTGAAGAATGCCTTTGAAACATGGTTATGTGTTTTTCACAGAGAGAGCAGCAAACTGCACCGACAGCTGGATGAGGTGCTACTGAAGCTTGAGCCTTTAGAGAAGCAAACAGTGGAGTATGAACAGATGAAGACAGAGCTAGAGAAAATTAAGGTTTGTGTTCAAACCCCTGAATGTCTTACCATCACATAATAATTTCAGTAATCGCTACCAATTGCAATGAATTTCCCTGATTCTCATTGCCAATTTTAATACAGATTAAAACCTCCTAATTTAATTAAAAAAAAACTTAAGTAATATAAACTAGGGCTGTCAACATTAACACATGCAATTAATTCTAAATCCTTAAAGGTCCCCTGACATGGGGTTATTTTATTATTTTATAATGTTTCCTGGATTGCCCAGTAATAATGTTAGTATGTTTTTTTTAGATCAAAAATAGTCATAATTAAGAAATATTTTCCTAGCCTGACTTTAGCCTCTGATTTGAATGCTCTGTTTGAAGGGGCGTGTCTGCTGTGGGATTCAGTGTATTCAGCCACCTGCTGTGATTGGCTGACATGCTTGCATAATGAAAGCTATGTATTACATGCATGAATATCGATTACATAAGGAATCGTGAGAAGTTTTTAAAGTATTTAGATCTATTTCCCATCACATAAAATGTTGCTGTGATGAGCATTGAGCAAGCAGGACAGTCTGTTGATCGCGAGAATGAAGATCTTATCATTGTAAGGCAGTTTCTGCTCTCTCGAATGCTTTCACCAACACGATGATGTACATGCAGTGAGAGCTTCATTGTGCAGTGTGCGTCATTGAATTCATAACGAGCTGTGTGGAAAGATTGTTCACTGATCGCTTTCTGTATAAGTTGTTCAGAATTTAAATAAGATTATTTTCATCCTTCTAAAAGAAATGATGTGAAGTTGTTATTTTAGTCACTATCTTGACTTACTAATGCATAAAGAGTATTGAGAGATTGTGATAGAAAGATTAGCTTACTTGTCTGAACTTGAAAAATTAGGCTACAAATCAGAAATTGTTGCTGGTTAGCTCGATCGATTTATTTTCAGACGTTCATCGAGTTGAGGAAACAGTCGTCGGTGAAATGTTTGGACCATACAAAACTTTCGGAAGTTGTGTTGGCGCATTTCCAGAAAAAATAAAACTGTTTCTTCAGAGGCTCGGAAGGAACTTAAAAATACTTTTGTGTTCAATTTGTACATCCGAACACTGATCAACTGCCATGCTTCGCTCGTTTGCAAGCCATGGTATCTCTCGAGGAAAAATTTAAATCTCAAAGCTATTTCTCTAGGAAAAACTTAAATCGCACTTGTGCGTTTATACTTCCTAGCTCATTTTCTCATGGGCGAGCCAAATTCTCAGTGCGGGAAAAGCAGAGAAAGGGGAGGTAACCTTTCCTCGTTATGATGTAATAACAAGGAGATTCAAGATCAGCGCGTCTGAGCTGCAGAGAAGAGAAAAATAGCCAAAGCTCGGGTTACACTGATTGAAAATTCTAGACACGAGGGGACCAAATACAGGCTAGGGGAGCTATTACTAATGTAAAAAAAAAACAATCTCAGAAAGTAAAAAAAAAATTTCATGTCTGGGGACCATTAACGCATTAAAATAATTTAGCGGAAATAACGTATATAAATTACTGAAGCATGTGAAATAGGCGCCATTAACGCAATTTACAAAACACAGTTAGATGATCTTGTTGGGAAGTTGGGAGTGTTAACACTGAGGCATCTACAATACCTCTAACCCTGGTAGATGTAAATTTCTATTTTAACCCTTTGAGCTGGTTTTGCTGCTTAGTTAGTTTGCAATCAGATCATTTTAAGCTGCTAAACTAGAGAATGTTTAGTCCAATCAGTCCAAAACAGTGCTAATTTAAAGAGAACCAGGCTGATTACATCAGGGGTGGCTGAGAGAATAGGGACTTGCGTAGTGTTTTCAGTGAATTATTTATTATTCCAGAGTGTTTTTTTACTTTAAAACACAAGCTGTGTCATATTCTGTCATTGTTTCTGAAGACCGCTAGCCCTCGCGCATCGCTGTGTGTGAAATACTGACTGAACGGAAGTGGCCAGATGATATGCAAACTACGTTTCTCGGCTGGATAAATCAAATCAGTGTTTTTTTTGCTAGTGAAGTTTTGATGGATAAGGATTGCAATCAAGGTAAAGACGATTACTGTGACTTACAGAAATCGTACAATAAGCACTCTGAAGTCTGTTATATTGATGTGCAAACAAACCGTGTATGTGCACTCTGGACACACTGATCGCACATTGTTTTTGTGTTTACACATTTCAGTACATTCACGTTCTTTCCAAACACATTCAGGATAATGTTTTTATCGGTTGGGTTTAGTAAGTCTTAATTGCTGTGTATATAGTTCAAATAAAGATAGAATAATGAGACTGAAATATAGCCTGACAACATCTCATCTGACCCCAGATGTTTGACTAGTCTCGCAGATTCCCTGGCATTTACAAATGTAGGAGATCGAAAAACTGCCCTTTTGAATTAAAGCCAGTATACGTATGGTGAAGTTTTTTGGTTTTTCGCTTAGGAGTAAAAAGAAGTTTGAAAAATTGTTTTGCAGCTGTATACTGTTGGCGAACATTACAATGCCTCCCAAGCTGTCTTTCCTCTAAATCACAAAATAAACACAGCAAAATTGACAGCAGTGAGAAAACAGCAGTTAAGAAAGCATCTAATCATAGCAATGTGGATGTGTTTGCACAAGATTTGCTGCAGCTTTTCTGTGTTTTCGTTTCTACTTGCGTCCGATATTGATGGATTGAACAAAAGAACTGAACCGGAAAAGATTTCCACATCAGAGCTCTACTAAACTACTAATCACCACGGTAATTTGAAGATGTTTACCAGACAACTTTTTTGCAAAGTTTGGTTTAGCAAGGTGTTTCCTGGAACAAACTCCAAACTAACTTTTTTTTTGTGCCTAATATTGTTAAAAAATTATGTCATGCTAGTTTGTTCTTTAATTACTTTTAGTTTGTTCTTTAATTATTTTAATTACTAAAATTCAATAGAAAGACTGTTCTAAAATCTAAGATAGTCATTCATTGTGAAGATAGTTAAGCTAACTTAAACTGGACTTAAAATATGTGCTTGCTAATTACTCTTTTCTGCTTGCTTTTTTATTCAACAGGCTGAATTGAAATTGTATCAGCAGAGATGTGAAGATGTTGACCAACTAAGAGCTGAAAGTGTTCGGACACTTTCTCTGTAAGACCACTCTCTACTGTAGTATCACTGTTGATTAGTTCTGCTTTTCATGATGTCTTCTACTCACTGTAATTATCTTTCTCTATTCACAGGAAAGAAAAAGCTGAAGAATCCTTAAGACAAGCAGAGGGTACATGCATCACAAATTATTTTAAGGATAAGATTAGAACTCTATGTCAAGAGTGCTATTGTGTGCTATAAGAGTGCTAGTGATAATAATAAAAAAACTAGGGATGCACCAATACCACGTTTTCCAAAACGAGTCAGATGCCGATACTTTCATTCTTGGTACTTGCCGATATCGATACCTGTATTTTCACTGCATTTGTAATTTTTTAATACGTTGGGTAGAGAAACCCAAAATTTTTAATCATATTAGTTTTCTTAATTTGTTTAGATCTCGATATGCATGTTAAAACATATTGTATGATGGGAGAATGTGAGCTTCTGTTATTTTTTACTCTAATTCTCTATTCTTGCAAAAACTACAAGCCTTATAAATGAAAAAAGTTACAAAAGTAGTTTAGTCAATAGCAGCGAGTGATTACTTTGTCTTTTGTACAGCAGCAGCAAGTACAAATACAGCAGCAAGGTGATTAGGCTGCTGTCCCTTTAAGACCGAATGCATGCGTTTTCGAATGCAGTCGCATACTATGCGGCTTCTAGTACACAAATGCAGAATGAGGCCTGGTGCATCCCTAATCAAACTGTCTTTTCTGTGATTTGTTCACTCACTGAATTCCTGGATCATATTTGTGTTGCTCATAAACGTAAAAATGTAATTGTGCTTTTTTCACAGACACTGTGCAAAAGCAAAAACTGGAGAATGAGAAGCTCGAAACAGAAATAAAATCACTGAAGGAGGATCTGCAAGAAACTCAGGTTAGGTTCTTTTAAGTAACCACTGTGATCTATAGATTGGTCAGTCCAAACAAAAGCTTTGGAATTTTTAAAAAAAAGCTTTTTTTTAAAGATTATTATCAATGGTGTTCAAGTTAATACTGGCTTTTTAAAGTTCATGTATCAGTACCACCTTAGATTAGCTCTAAAAAAGCAGAGTTAATATACTATTTGTCTTTTGCATCTTTTTGTATTTCGTTGATTGGCATTTTTTTTTAATTTTCTGACCCATTTTTGGGGTTTCTTTATTTCAAGGATTCTCTCAGAAAATATGTTCAGACCACTGAGGAACATGAGAATCTCAAGTTGGAGAATGCCAAGACACTAATTATGTAAGTCCAGCCGTGTCTGTTTTATTGTTTACAAATCACAAGGACAAATGCTTGTCTTTTTTTTTATGTGTTGCTGATATTTGTTAGTTTTGAATTAAACAGCGATCTTCAGAAAATAAAAGTTTTAATGTATGTCTATTTTTTCTCCTCTCAGGAAAGGAAACCTTGAGAATGAGCTTTTGGTGCTGAAAGGTCTGTGTTTGTGATCTTATAGATATTACATATACATATTAGACTGCATGCACGAATGACATTTTAAATTTGCTTTAGCTTATCTTTAACTTATCTGAATATGGACTGTCTATCACAGCATATTAAAATATATATTGGATTCTTTTTTTTAATCTCCTTACGGTGTTTATTTTTACACAGAGTCAAAATTTCAACAGGACAATGAAATTGGTGTTCTAAACAATGAGAAGAGAAGACTTGAAGAAGTGCTGTACAAAACACAGGTTAAAATTTTGCTGTAATTTATATGTTCTGGTGAAATCACAATCATTCATTCTGATCATATTTTAATTTTTTTTCTTTTTTTTCAGCAAAGACTGAATGATCTTGAGAAGGAGTTCAACAAAGGTATGAGTTATGCATAAGTGCATCTAGTACCTACACCTAGTATATTATTTGTTTTCAGTCATTAAACATTTTTATTATTATTTTAGAAAAAAAGAGTACGTCTTCTCAAACAGATGCAGAGCCACTAATTGACAAAGGTATGCACTGTTTAAAACTTAGACTCTCTGTTGTTCAATGAAATGCTTAGATATTTAAAAGAAAACATCTGGATAGCATGGGAATTGATAATGTTTCCTTTTCAGGAAAAGTCAGAATGCTGCTGGAGGAGCTCTGGCATTGCGTGGAAACTTCATCCCAAACCCAAGAAAGATTGTTTATTGCTGGTAATCATTCTTCCGTTGATTAAGCCAAATTTTGCCTTTATTATCAAGTCACCAGGCTTAATCGTGATGAAGAAGCAATGCATATTTATTTGGCTGACACCGCCGTCGGCGTATGAATGAGTGAATGGGAGGCAATATGTAAAGCGCTTTGGTGGCCATTGGGTCTTTGAAAGCACTATATAAATGCAGTCCATTTATCATTTACAGGAGAAGAGGCAGATCCCTTGAAAAGTCAACTTACAAGAACACCTCCTCAACCACTGCTAAACTGTCCTTTAGGAAGACCGACTTCCCATCCATCTCCAGGGTGTCCCAGTCCAGAAACTAAGTTGCAATCTTCAAAACTCTACACACCTAAATCACCTCCAGCGATCAATAGGCCTACATCATCACCTCAAAAACTGAATAAGCAGAATAATGAACAGTTCAGTGCACCAAATAGAAAGAGGAAAGTAAGTTCAGATGTGCTTGAACATGTGAACACTTGGACCAATGATGCCAATAGACCTTCACTAAAGGAAATGACAGATGAAGATTTCTTACATGGAGATTACTGTATTGATTTGCAGGGCATTAAAGAGTGGTTAAAGCCTTTGCCCACAGCTTTATCACCTGTGCACAGCCCTTTAATAGAGATGGTGAGTGAACATTTACATTTCAATTACATTGCAATCCTCAAGTGATTCAATTGCAGTGCAATTACTGTGATTTTTAGAGACGTGGACTTGAGTATTGGTCTTTTAGCAAATATTAAAATACTTCTGACTTGAATTTGATTTTACTTCAAATTAACTATTTGTGACTTTGCTTGTAACAAATATTTCCTTCTAAACCTTTCAATTGAGATCAGTTTAAATGTTGAGAAAGCATCAAATGTGCATTGCGAAGAAAATGTAAATTTGAAGTTTCAAATCTACACAAGATTTAATTAAAGCCTACAGAAATTGTGCTGTAGAAATTCACAATACAAGCCATTTGGAATCGACTGAAATACTATCAAAAAACGTGTGAAACGTTGAATGTCATCTCGAATATAGTGGCTTCTGTGGAGATTCAACAATTATGTTGCCTAAGGCAATTAGTTAACTGATTTAATACTGGCTTGTAAAACGTAACTGTAATAATTGGACAAATTGAATTCCAGGCACTCAGTAGGATGCAAAAGTTAAAAGTTTAAACATTAAGGCCCTGTTTACACGTGAACACTCGCGGGTGAAAACGTGAAAATATTTTATCGGATGTGCCTTTCGTTTACATGGCGACGGCGTTTTTGAGGCTTAAAAACACAAAAAAAAGTGAAACCACCCTCCAGAGTGTAAATCTTAAAAATGCTCCACTGCCGCATTCCCGTGTAAACGGTAAAAACGCAAAAGTGTGCTTGACAGTGAAGGTTGTACGCAGGCGCGTGGACTTGGTGTTGTTGTAGTATGCACTCCTAGCCGACTGAAGTGCATACTACATTGAATTTCACACACTTTTGCATTACCATTTGCACGCGGATTTCCCACACAAAACGCTCGTCTAAACGCAGAATAAAAAGTGATGACACAATGCCACTTTTGCGTTTTCTCTTCACAATCGTTTCCGTGTAAACATAGCCTAAAACACCAACCCTTATCAGTCCACTGGCCTTCATCATGGTGTTGGTAACAAACAGACAGAATGAAGTCATACTTGTATTTGCATTGATTTCAGGTGTGCCACTCTGGGACTTGCAACACAATTTCTTGGCCACTAGAGGCAATAGTTCAGGTATTGTCTAATGCCAGAGATTAAACCATACAAATACAAGACCAAAAGAGAGATCTGTAAGTGGAAAAATAGGGGTGACGCTACTACAAACATCCAGTGTACTCCACACAATATGCACCAGAAGGCAATAAATATAAATAAGCTAGTTACACATAATAATTCTTAATTCATAGTCAAGATGTTTCTAAAGCCCGGAACACACCAAGCTGACAGTCGGCCGTCTGGCAGACTAAGCAACCTAAGTTTCCTCGGTGTGATGCGTACGGTTCCGTGCCGTTGGCTGAAAGTAGTCCTCGTCGGCTTTGTTTCGCCTCGATTCGACATGTTGAATCGGCGTCGGGCCGTTGGGGAAAGAGAGAACTCTGATCAGCTGTTCAGCTTAGTGAAAGAGTCAGTGCACAAGAATAAAAGCAAAACAGCAAGCAGAGAAGTCTAAACAGTAGATAGAAGGCTGTTCTTATGTTGCGTCTTCTTACCTGAGTGATCCTTGGTGAATATTTCAATATTAACATGAGCGGAGTGGAATAAAGAAAGTGTTTAGCAGGATTGATATTCAAAACTGTAAGCACGCGCTGCTTTGTTTACGGTGTGTGTATCTGCAGCCGGCAGCATCGGTTTCCTTTTTGAATGATGAATATAGACTAATATATCTGCAGAAATAGACAGTTGGCTGATTAAACGCAGGCGCAGAACACACATTATAGCTGACAGTTATCTGTAGTTCTCTCTGTGTGTTCAAGTGCAGCTTTTTACCTCGATGAGAGCGGACGATAGGCGACAACACAGTCGGCTTTCATCAGCGCTAGTTCGTTGGCGTCGGCTTGGTGTGTTCCGGGCTTAAAACAACATGAAGAGTGTACAAAAAATGGCAATTGGGTCTATTGCATTCATTCCTAGTCATCATTTACAAACAGCAGTACACTTTCCATATTGAGAGACAACAGTTACAAAAAGGGTGAAAAGTCAAAATCTTCATTGAGCCCTGGATGACTAGTCCTCAAGGAATAGATCCAATATGTCTCCCTCTGTTTAATGTGTTTGATTATATCCACACCTCTGCCATCAAGGCAAATAGCCTCAATGCCCACTACTCTTATTCTGTCTGTTACTGACACCATGATGAAGGCCAGTGGGCTGATACTTGTTGATGTTTTAATGTTTTAGCCCTTAATATAATAAAAGTTTTTTTTTTTTACTTTTGCATCCTACTGAGTGGCTGGACTTGGATTTTTTCCAGTTCTTTTGTATGAACAATTAACCCTTCCAAGAGCACCAGAGGATACAAGGGATATCAGCAGCGCTACAGCTCCCCTTTGTCTAGTAACTGTAATAATGTTCCTGTATGCCCAGTAGTGGTGAAGAGATGTTGTGTAACATTTTTCATTTGTTCTTTCAGGTCAGTGTAAATGACGACCAACCAATGACCGATGCTGAACTGGAATATCAATCAGATAATGGAACACCAGAAGCACTGTCAAGGTTACATAAATATATTCTTCAAAGCAACACAAAATTAGAACCTTCAGATGTTGAGGATCAGAGGTCATTGCTAAACGAAGTGGAAAAATCTTCTGTACTGTTGTCCCCAAATACTCAAGGAAGATCAGCTGTATCTGTTGATAATTTAGATCTTGAAAACACTTTGTCTGACAGCCAACACATGGAGGTAGAGAATGTGTTTGAAGGAACGAATGCCTGTGTGGCCAACACTCAGACTCAAACTGCAAAGTCAGGTATAGAAAATGGACATAGTGTGGAAAGTTCTGTTGTAAGTGACACGACACAAACTGTGGTAGAACTTCCAATGATGAATCCAAATGATGACGCAACAAAATTGGAGGATACAAAAATCACTAATAGTCTTGAAAAGCTGTTGGAAAACTCAGATCCTCAGCAGGATATAAACTCTGAGCTAGTGCTCACCAAATCTATTGAATCTACACAAAGCAAAACTTCTCTGGTACAGCCCAATGTGACATTGGAAACTAATGTCAAGAGCGTTTTAACACTTGATGTGAACTATAGTACGTTAGACAGTATTGACAATAAGGAATCAAAGAGTTGTGTTCCACTAGAAATGAAGACTGTTGCAGATATATCAGCTCTTGACATTCAGAACAGACTGGCTGGCAAGGCGGACCAATCTGAATATAGTGCTGAGGATAATGTTTCAACGTCTATAGAAGATCAGAGAAGTTTGGATGCAAGAGTAAATGGAGGTGCGTGCCCTTTAAGACCCTCAAAGGCTGCAGAATCGTCATCAGAAGATGAAGGATTTTTTGGTTTGAAGATAAAGGTTAGGGGTGTTCACACAAGGTCAGAAGGAAGAATCCCCTCAGAAGAGTTGGATAATGTTCCTGGAAATACACCGTCAGAAATTGACAAAACTGTTCAAAAGTTACTGAGTCAAGAAAATAACCCTAAGGATACTGAAGAAAATGATTCGACTATCTCAGAAAAAACATTGGTGCAAATGAATAATGAATCTCAACAGGCAGAGGAGATGTCAACTGATACCTGTAGCCCTTGTGTCAAAAATCTAGTCAGTGATGTTTATAACCACAAGGAAACATCAGGAGATTCTGCAGTAGATAGTCTTGAGGATACCAGCACACCATGCCAAGGTACTCTGGATGCAGAATCTTCTACTGCTGAAAACGGTGACAATATTTCCCTTGCTCCAGGTCTCCACACCCAAACTCATATTACACCAACCTCATGTTTATCTCTTGGAAGGGTTCGAACAGAGATGGGTCCACCCCTACCCCCAGTGGTTATGCCACTGACTGCTACTCCTCCAAGGTTTGGAAAACATAATACTCCTTTAAAGCCTAATTCAATATCCTCTGGATTACCAACAGATGGACCAATGTCTCCTAAGACAATACCTTCTGTGCCTGTTATTGATTCAGCTCTTCCGGATGCCTCAAAAATGTCTCCGTGCTTGACCACCACTCCATCGCCGTCTTGTGGAGTTCCCTCCTCACCACTTCAGTTTGGATCAGCTACTCCAAAACATGCTGTTCCGGTCCCAGGAAGGCTGCCATCATCTGCCTTATCCTCCTCCCCTCCAGCCGCTTCTCAGGAAAACTCCATGCAGATGCTGGATACTATGTATCCTGACCTCTCTGCACGAGCCCGCACATTAAACATACTTCGTGGGAATGTTAACCTGACCCGAGCTGGCAATGAGAATGGTACCTCCCCTCCTTCTGTTAACCAGATATCAGGAAATAAAACAATCAGTTCTTCATCTACTGCCTTCACCAAAACAGAGCAGAAGCCAAAAAAGACAGGTGTGAACATACTTTTGCCAAAGAGTGCTAAAAGACTCAGACTTGATAACTGTTCACCTGCTCCTCCTGGTGTTGATTTTCCTGCAGAACAAGTGAAGGATCATCAATCGGTTATTAAAACAGAGTCCTTCCAATCTCACCAAGAAATACAAAGCGGTCAGCAGACAATTGAGAAAAAGCCAGACAACAACAAAAATTGTAAAATCTCGGAAGCACTGGCCAAAGTTGGAATGTCCTCTTTTGATGTTTTGCCTGTTGTTAAGAGCCATGTGTTCCTTGGGAGAATATCTCAGGTGCCAATTTTGATTGACGAAGAAAAGGCTGTAATTGCTGAATTCTGTGTAAATCAGGTATGCGTTTATGCTTTGCACAAGTCAGATGGTAATACAAATGTGTGTATTAATGTCCTCAAAGCTGCATTTTTTTTTTCTTATTCTTTAGTTTTCAGCAGAAAAACTCATGTCTGCCATATTGACTAAACTAAAGACTGAGAGGAGCATTCTGAGTTGTGGAAATATACAAGCTCTGTGTAGAGTCTACACTGGGATGTGTCGCCAGATAGGGGACTATCAGAAAGCCCATGCCTTTGCATACAACATTCTCAAAGAGGGTGAGTTTACAGCAACTTTTCCCATTATATCTATATGGTATGTTTATTAAGCATGTATAGTTTTAGTTGTTTAGCCTTTTTAGTCAGGGGTTCTCAGCTCTAGCCCTCGAGGTCCATTTTCCTGTAGAGTAAGGAAAATCATTAACTCGCCTTTCCATAATTTTTTGTAATCTTGACGACCTTTATTAGGGTTGGAGCAAAACTCCAAATGAACCTTGAGGGCCAGAGTTTACAATCGCTGCTTTTAAGTATTGGTATTATTAAATGTAAGAAGACTTTTCTTTTTAAGTTGTTGATTCAATCCTGATTCTTCACTCACAGATTTTCCTGATGCCTCCAAGCTAATTTTGTTCATGGTCACAACATGGCCAAGTGTGCTTTTCCATGAGACCACCTTGTGCAAAGCCATTCATACAGTGGCCAAGCTTAAATCAGATGAGGAAAATTTGGATTACCTAACTAAATATCTACACTGGGATAAGGTATGCTTCATTTCCAACTCTTTTGCTTGCAGTCTCTGATGGCTGGCGCAAACAAATACCGTGATTCATTCCATTACCAATAATTATTATTACAAAGCAAACAGATTCTCTAATTTCCTTTCTGACCCTGCTATTTAAAGATTGGACACAGAACAGTTTATTTGTGTACCCTTTAATTAAATGCATATAAACATTCTGTTTAAATAATTTAATTATCTTGCATTTTAACAGTAGTCACTAATATTTCTTAGAGTCCTCCTGATGACATCCAAGAATTGATCAGCAACACACTGAAGGCACTTCAAGAGGACAACGCTTTGACATTCCAGAAGTATGATCGTCATGGTCACGACCTTTGCCCAACTGCTTGGGAATATATATATACCTTGGATCTCTTGTGTACACACATGAAGTGGAAGTGGACGCATGATTATGTTATTGGGTATATTTATTTACCAAGTACAGAATGTTAAATCGTTTAAAAGAATGGATAATAAATATAATAATAATAAAATATAGAATGGATAATTTAATATATTTATCATGACTTTTTTTTAATTAAACAGCAAAGAGCTATGGCCCGTAATGAACACTTGGGTGACACAGTCAAGGCTTCAGCAATCCCCAGTCCGTGATGTTACTGTAGCAGCTGTTCTGCGATTGATCGGTAAGTTGTTTTATTTGTATGAAGTGATTAATACTGGCAGTATTTAGTTTATTTACAGCATTAAAGTAAAGTTTTTAAACTATTAGTTTATTTGAATATTATTAAATTAAATTTAAAAATAATTAAATCTAACTTTTACTGTAATACTTTATTTTGATAATCCCTTTCGAACTTTGTTATGTAAAGTTAACTAACTTTGCAACTACATGTCAACTAACTCTGAGTATTAGTAGACTGCTTAATATTTGCTAACTCTTTATTGTGATGGTATCAAAACAGACATTCTACTGACTATAAGTAACTTTAGCTTTAGCTACGTTTGCACCTCCCGTCCAGACTAAAACGTAAAAAACGAAGACCTAAAACGGAGAAGTTTAGAAATGCCGCAGCTCCGTTTTGCGTTTTGAATCTCCGCGTTTTAAACGGAGGACTTTAGAAGCTATGACGCAGAGGCTCACGCTCGGCTCTGATTGGTTGTCATCAGCAGGGTGCGATTTGTGGAGTTTTTGAAAAAAAAAAATTCATAAAAATAAATCATGAGAACATGAACTTCATCACTGCATTTGCAGAAAAAAATGCATTATTTTTACTCTAATAGCTTCCCACACATATATGAACTGTGATCATACACAACGAAAAAACATGCAAATCAATAGACCTTATTCGCAAACACCGGAAGTAGCTTACCGCGGCCATATTGTTGACATGACATCTGTCCTGCTGCCCTTAGCAGCGCACAGATTTGAGTTGAGGGCGAGCTTCATCTCGTCGGTATCAAAAGAAGATAAGCTTGATTGGTGTATGGACCCACATCAAAATCAAGTAATAGCATTAAGTAAAGATCCGTCCTTATTTCCAGCTGTAACCTATCCGGATATTTATAACTATCTTGATCAGACAGTATCCGTATAACGTACAAACTACAATTCACCTCAACAAGGCAACATGAACGACACTTGTCTCATTCGTGGAGGTGTGCAAGTGCTTTGTGACATGCAAGATTTGTTTTATTAAAATGTAAGTGCAAAAGAAAAGGCATGAGAGTCGGTTGTTTTCATCAATTTTAAGTTTCTAAGTGCAAAAGAAAAGGCATGAGAGTCGGTTGTTTTCAGAAGTTTTCATTTAAAATGTTTGTGATTACATGAAATACATGGTTACATATTTGACCACTTGCTTGACCAACTTAATATATAGAAGTAATGCATGTAATAATTGGCTTACGTTGTTGAAATAGTGAGTAAAAATAGTGAGTAGCAGGGTGTTTGTGAGTAGTGGGGTGTTTGTGAGTTTGTGAGCGGGGTGTTTGTGAGTAGCGGGGTGTAACTGTATCCGGGGGCGCGGCTCTGTTGCTGACCCTGTGTTCACCACATGTGCTCTGTTTGTTTGTTTGTTGGTCGGAGTTTTTAAAGTTTGTTTTTGTTTCTTTTTGGACATTTCTTACTGTTTGAAGTGGATTAAGCCTGCTGGTTACGTTAACCCACCCCGTATCTTGTCATGAACTTCGAATTAGTATGGATACTGGTCTGCTGCACGGCACTTGTGCCTGGGATCAACTGCTGGACGGATCGACAAGGAGTGCTGATCTACACACGTGAGGATTTGTTGTCTCTACGCTTTGCTAGTGAGTCCTCATCCGTAATTTTACCAGAGCACTGTTGCGCAATTAGACGGCCGGAAAGGCCGAAGAAAGTGAAGAAAAAAAGGGGTTCAAGAGGAGGTGTGAGACGCCGGAAAAGATTCCCCCTTCCTGCTATAACCTTCTCAAACGTGCGTTCGGTAAGCAACAAATTAGATGAACTTATGCTGAGAGCTGATCACGACCGCAAGTTCAGACAGAGCAATCTTGTCTGCCTCACAGAGACATGGCTTAAAAATCACCATCCAACCCCGTATTTAAGGGGATACATAACAATAAGAGAGGACAGAGACGAGTGTTGCCCATCGGTGGTGGTATGTTTGTATTTGTTGATAACAGCTGGGCCACACAGTACAGTGTACGGGAGGAAGTGTGCACGCCAGACTTTAAGATTTTAACAATTTTCTTACTTAAGTTAATAAATTTTTTTTTTCTTAATTAATTAAGAAAATTCTTATGGTCATATTCAGTAGCGGAGTGGCAATCGGGAGAGTCGGGAGTTTTCCCGGTGGGCCGGTAGTGTTACGAGGCCGCGAGGGCCGGCCCGGTCTGATAAAATGTATTTATTGGAAGTTCGCCATGGCCCAAGCTAAGGGAAGAAAACAAATTTTTTTTGACATTTTTTATAACGGAGCATATATTTGCACTAAATGCCTGTCTTTACAGCAAAACGACACCCGTCATAGAGCAGCCTCAGTGACGTAAGTCGTAGGGCGTGAAGTGTTTGAATGCAGCTTGATGCGCTGAACGCGAGTTCGAATCCGCCTTGCCGAACTCTCTCTTCTCCCTTTTCCCAACACAGATATGTAAAGATGTAAAATGTAAAACCTAATTTTATATTTTATGTTATATTTTGCCAACGAACTAAAATTGAAACCATATGGCGTTGCGCCATTATAATAACTGACATTAGAATAGCATCCAGTTTGTTCTGCGTGATTACTTTGCTCTCGCGATCATCTGGTGTTTTCTCCTAAATAAAAGCTCAAGGGTTTGCAAGTGACGAAATTAAGACAAAAGTATTTTAATTTTCCTATATTATAGTGTAATGTAGGTTAAAATATACTTTTGAAATACTCATTTTCATTTACACATTTATAGGCTATAAATGGATTTTACAGTACGTCATAGGAATAATTATAAATCATTATTACATTATTATAATAATTGTTTGGCATCCTAAAACACCATTGATAATGTAATGCAAACTGAGACTCTCATAACTAAAAAAATATTTGAGCCCTCTTTATTGTCCTGGTACAAATTAATGTTTTTTCTTTGTTCAACGAGCAGTTCATGGGTCTTAATTTCGATCTCTCAGAGAGCATGAGATTGATGCATTATAACCTTAAAATGTCCAAAATTTTCTTGCCCCCGAACCCCCCTAGAGGCACAGAGTCCACCCAACTAGTTTTAGAAATTAATATGGGAAAGAACGACCATTTATGAGCTTTACTCCAGCATACTAGTACAACAAAGTTCCCTTTAAATCAGTAAAACTGTAAATGCTATTGGCTAATCGTGCCGGCGACGAGGGCCGGTGGTCTACGAAAGTTCCCGGTAGATTTTTTGGTCCCACTCCGCCCCTGGTCGTATTCACCTATGTACCTGGGCCCAATTTCACGTCAGCAGGGGAGAGAATAGTGCAGAGCTATAATGATGCTCTCACTCGTTCTACAGACCAACCTGTTTTAATTCTCGGGGGTTTTAATTCATGTGATTTATTGGAATATTTGCCTACTCTCCAGCAGTATGTGGAATGCCCCACCCTTCTAAACCGGACCATTGACCGCTGCTATGGTAATATTCCCAACGCCTACAAAGCAGTATGCAGACCCCCCCTTGGGAAATCTGACCATAATGTAATACATCTTCAACCCAAATATAAGACTGTAGTGAAGAGGACAAATCCTATTACTAAGCAAATACAGGTGTGGTCAGATAGGAGTAAAGAGCAACTAAAGGACTGCCTTGAAAAAACCAATTGGGACATTTTCTTTCAGTCCTTGTCATGATGCTGATGAGCTTGCAGATACCATTACGTCATAAATTAAGTTTTGCAAAGACACTGTTAGTGAAACTAAAACTGTTAAAATCTTTCAAAATAACAAACCTTGGGTATCGAAAAAGCTGAAAAGCTGTCTCAATGAAAAGAAGGCTGCCTTTTGTTCTGGTAATACAGATTTACTATGTGAGAAAAGGAGACAGTTAAGGGCAGACATTCTTAAAGCAAAAAATTGATTATAAAAATAAGCGGGGATATAAGACAGGCTTGGGAGGGATTAAATAGATTAACGGGTAGGCCAAATAAAAAGAATGATAATTGTGTAAGTAAAAGTTTTATTAATTAATTAAATATCTTTTATGGTAGAAGTGCTCTTCTCTCTCTTTACTAATGAGTTTACGATTAAAGAAGAACATTTTAGACTGTTCAAATACGCTGATGATATGGCCTTAGTAGGCCTATTGGACAAAACTAACCTGTCATTTGATGCTGCTTATCTAGCTCACATTAAGGCCATGGAGAACTGGTGTCATCTTAGCCAATTAGAAATTAACGTGGCAAAGACAAAAGAATTGATTATCTGCCAAAAACTAAATATGTCAATCCAGCCAATTTCCCTTGTGGGTCAACAAGTTGAAATTGTTGAGAAGTTTAAATATCTAGGCTCAATCATTGATTCACATTTGAACATTGCTGATAATTCAGATCACCTTTTTAAAAAATGTTCGCAACGTTTATTTCTTCTTAGACAACTTATTGGCCTTGGAGTTAGTCAGCATATTTTAGAACTTGTGTATAAATCCATGGTAGAGAGTGTACTAAGTTTTCATCTCACAGCCTGGTATGATCATTTAAATTGCAGATCTAAGAACAAACTTGGCAGAATTGTGACAATTGCAAGCAGAATAGTTGGCAGAAAACAGAGGCCACTAGTACAGCTCTATGCTGAAAGGGTGAAGAAGAAGGCAAGGTCTATTCTTGCAGATAGGTCTCATCCTCTCTTCAGTCAATTTGAGCCCATGAAATCAGGTAGACGCTACAGAACCCCTCTAGCAAATAAAAATATGTTTAAGAGGTCTTTTATCCCAAATGCTGTTAACTCTTTCCCCGCCAGCGTTTTAAAAAAAAGTTGCCAGCCCACCGCCAGGGTTTTTGACGATTTTCGCTAAATTTGAATGCCCCGCTGAGTATTTTCTTCCATGAATATATGAAGATGATATATATAAAAATAAAGATCTGAGCCTCTGCTTTTAGGCAAAAAAAACGTTTTTATTTTATCTTCATCTGTTCTTTTTTATTGCCTCTTGAACAGAGGTAGGTTTTGTCAAAAACACAACATTTTGGACAAAAAACTGAGAA